TTCCCCTAATACTACCATCTACCGTCACTGTATTGCATCTCTTCACTACTGCATCTGTTGGTCTTCGTTGTATATGACCAAACCATCTCAATCTATTCTCTCTCAACTTATCTTCTATTGGTACAGCTCCTACCCATTCTCGAATATACTCATTCCTAACTCTGTCTTTTCTAGTCTTGCCACATATTCACCTTAACATCCTCATTTTAGCAACACTCATATTATCTACATGTTGTTTCTTAGTTGCCCAACATTCCGTCCTGTACAACATTGCTGGTCTAGTAGTCGTTCTATAGAACTTCCACTTTAGTCTAATGGGACTCATTTTTCACACATTCTCCTGACGCACTCCTCTATTTAAGCCACCCTGCCTTAATTATATGGACCATATCCACTCCAACCTCCCCAGGCGTTGTGACAATCAATACTAAATAACGAAAATGTTCACTCTTGAGTAGTTTTTAGTTTTCAATCTTCATTTTTCCTTTACTTCCATTCTGATTGTCTCTAAAATTATACTCTATATACTCTGTCTTAGTTTTGCTTATCCTAAATCCTTTAGATTCCAGTGTTTTTCTCCAAATCTCCAACTCAGTGTTAACTCCTTCTCTAGTCTCATCCACTAACACGATATCATCTATAAAAAACATACACCATGGCACATCATCCTGAATATTGCATGTGAACTCATCAATAACTAAAGCGAAAAGATAAGAACTTAAAGTTGGTCCTTGGTGTAACCCTACAGTAATTGAAAATTCACTCGTCTCTCCAGCAGGCAAACTAATAGTGGTCAAAATTTCTCCGCCGATTCTTACTAGTTAAGCCTCTCGGTCTGTCATTATACCTCGAGAAGTAGAAAGAATTACAACTCCCATTCCACCTAAAATTCGAGAAATTCGTTGATAGTTAGAATAGATTCATAGACCCGGTCGACTGATTCGCTTTAAATTTAAAATATTTCTACTATAAGGCCTTTTCCTATTCTCCTTCTATGTCGCAGGGTTGAAACCAAAAAATATTTTTTGCTTTCTTGTTGTTTCCTCACATTCTCGATAAAACCTTCTCGTAAAAAGATTTTAACAATGTTTTTGGTGATATTAGTAGATGCTATTTGAACTACTCTTTTTCTATCCGTGTCTGAATTTCGTATAGAGGTTATTATGTCAGTAATAGTGTCCCTACCCATGATAGACTAAAATTATGGGTGCTCCCAAATTTTGACATAATCAACATATTTTTCTTTTTTACTTATTTATTATTTATTTTTTATTTTTATGAATATGAATCATTCACACCTTCATACATATACCTAATCACATCAATGTAACATATAATAAGAAATAATAATTAGCAAAAATAAACAGATTCAGGCATACCTTTTACGCTCAAACTGAATTCAGGGATCATGTGGGTGAATCACGTGCCTCCATTGATGTCTTCGAATAATTCCCAGCAGTGGAGTAGAACTACTAAAGAACTACCCACACTATTCACAATACAAAGGCTATTATGTGTTTCTATGGAGAGAGAAACAAGAAAAGAGAGTCTAGGAGAACCTAAAAAGAGATACTAATTGCCCATATGGTTAAATTCTTATTCTTCCAAAAATAATACGTTTATTATGAGGGAGAGTTATAACCACCCATAACTCTATCCCGTTAAGAGATAAGATAGTGGGTTCTATGCACTTATCCCCAAGACAAGTTGATTCAAAATGAATCTCTCCTGACAGGGTCTCTCAATGGGTCATGGGTCATGCCACCATGGGCAACCCAATAAGGTATGGGTTCTAACCCGATCCAATTTCTGACATCTCCTACTCGAATATGCGCTGGCATGACACTGCACTTTCCTTTATCTCAATCTATCCATCAACCATGATCATACTAGCCAATGGACCATAGATCTGTTGAGAACACTTGCATGTGGGAGCTTTACACTAGAAACTCAAAAAAAAGGTAGCATAGTGTCTTATATACCCATGACCCATCTAATTACACCGGTCCATAAAACATCTTTAATCCCTTAAAAGAGCATGTTTGATCCTATCAATTCATGCAATATATTTACACTCAATCTGCCTCTCATACAGAGCAATGTGAGTTATCGGTAGTGAATATACAACAGTGGTGTAATATTAGATGATCTTTCCTTCACACTCATGCCATATAGTTTAGGATTGACCGCTTTCCCAGTGATGTCCCTCAAGGCCAAATCATACATGACCGCAAGCAACATACCAAAGTAGTACATAGTCAAAGGTCACAAAAGGGTACATAAATGAAAATCATATCAATAATGACACGTAAAACTCACACGGTGAGGAAACAGGGATATGTTTTCTCACATCATTACTCGATCACCAAGCACATGTAGTATGAATACATGTTACGATGGAGTTACTCTTAAAAAGAGTGACGTCATACTCAATACGCCATATAGATCTTAGTCTAGTCGCTTTCTAGCGTCTAACCTGAATTCTCTATTTGCTCGTCGTCCAAGCGCCAAATAAGATTTCGCATCTGGTTAATCATAACAGGCACAACATGGAATATGGGTACTAATATCCATGTTTGGTCTTTAACACGACTGCATCTTAGTTGCAACCAAGGTGACATACATGGTGGATAATTTAAGCCTCTCTTGGCTCCAAATAAAATAAACCACTAGTCTCATCTTTGCTCTCTCCCAAGCACTAAGGGCGATTACTCGTGTGAGTGAGCCAATCTTTCCGGCTGACATCATCATCTACCAATCATTATGACACAAACCATAATAGCACCAATATCCCATAATCTCACAATATTAAGTGATCGATTTAAAAAACACAACCACAGTTTGGGCAATTCTAGATGCCAAACATAAACCCTATCAACAGCTCTTCCAATAAGCACATACAATGGAATCCACCATGTGCACCTCACCTGAAGTGGTTCAAGATCACTACCTCTTGCGCAATTACCTCTCTAAGTATATTTTGGTGACCAATTTGCATTCAGTCAAATGCACCTAACTAGCGCATTGAATCTTACAAGGGGAAAATTTATACACTACTAGTAAAGCATCCTATCCACAGTCTAGGAGCAAGGTCAATGTCTAAACTACTCAGTTGACCATTTACAAAAGATAACCTCATCATGCCGAATACGCCCACATAGCGTGCTCCAGGCTCCCACAACAAAAGCTTAAGGAATATAGGTCATCTATTTCTCCTAGAGACAATCCGAGGATTCACTCAATAGCTGAGGCTCTAACTTTTACTAATAGATAAGTCAATGGGTTTGTAATTTTGTATCTAAAATCATTCTAGAATATGCCCTATGTAAGTCATCAAAGAAAAACTAAGAATTCTCCCAGAACAATCCCTAATGAGCATACATCTGAGCATATAAATTACATTACCCATGTCCATCATGTCTAAAACAGAGGACTGCTAACCCTAGGTGGCGACAACTTTATAAATTTCTCGCTTATAATGACTAAGGAAAAACTTCTTTTGGGCCATTGATCATGCCTCAGTTGTCTTCATTGATCATCGTTGGCCCATTATGGCTTGGTGAAATCTAAGAACCACTAGTTGGATATTTGTTTTAAGCCATAAAAAGATTTATTAGAACTAGCAATCTTTTTGTGCTCCCAACTTTTTGCCATAAAAGTAGAAGGTAAATCCCTGCGGATCTACTTATCCAATTCTCCAACAAGAAGTTGGGTCACAATGTCCACAAAGTAAAGTTTCGAACTCATGTCAATCATAGCTTAAGTCGAAGTAACCTCACTACCCAGGAGAAAGTCTTCTCATGGTCTATAGCTTCCTCAATAGTGCAACTTTTCGGTATCTAGCAAGTCTTATGCCTAAAAAATGACTATCCCAATTGTGCATAACTTTAGAATAGTTTCTCTGGGTTCAACCCAGAGAAAATTCAAATTTCTCTGGGTTCATTTTGACCAATTTTCTCTGGTTTCAAATTCAAATTCAAATTTCTCTGGGTTCATTTATAAACCAGAGAAAATTCAAATTTCTCTGGATTCATTTTAACCAATTTTCTCTGGATCACAATATCATTTTATGGAATCATTTTGACAGACCTTGAACCAATTTCTCTGAGTTCAAATTCAAATTCTTCCTCCAGAGAAATTCTTTGATAGCCTTCATCATCATTATCATCATCATCATCTTCTTCTTTCTACATCAAATAAGTAGCTGTAATAGCACCATGAAAGCCATATAAGCAAGAGCACTTTGAAAGCATCAACACAAATACACAACATGACAAATGATTAACTGGAGGTAGCATGAGGCAAACAAAGCTTCCAGAGAAATTTGAACAACCAGAGAAATTTGAACAACCAGAGAAATTTAAACAAACCAAAGACCTACCAGAGAAATTTGAACAACCCAGAGAAATTTGAACAACCAGATAAATTTGAACAATCCAGAGAAATTCTCTGGTCCAAACCATTGCAAGGTTTATGTTCTTAAATCTGTTGTTTAATTAATAGTTGGGGTTGATTTATTCAAATGGTTGTTGTTGTTGATGGCAGAGAAAATGGTAAACAAATCAAAGAAAATTTTAAATAAACCAGAGAGAATTTTTTTAGTTTGGAGAGAATTTCTTTGGTTTGGACCAGAGAAATTTAAAGCTAGATGGTTGTTGTTGTTGTTGAAGGCAGAGAAAATGATAAGGAATTTCTCTGGATATCTGCAAAGCTGTGTCCTCATGAGAAGCAACTGATCTTTCTCTCATATTTGGATTTTTGATTTCTAAATTCTTACACTAACAAACACACTGCAGACACATCCATTGGAATGAAAAAAATTCTTTTTTTCTATTAACCTTTGTTCTTGGTGAACATGAATATATATATTTGTTAACATTTATTTATAAAATCAGTACCTACGAATTCATTGCCAGTTCCTCCTAAACATAATCGGACCAATATTCTTCACAGAACTTATTGTACTGCATCACTAACCATTCAATTCAATTCTGAATTATTCAGGAAGGGCAAATTCTCAAGATCAAATCAAGCAGGTGTCTGCTTTCAGCAGAATAGTTCACCTTGTCTGCCTTGACAACTGTGATTTTCACCCTCTGTTCATCACCATATATTTCCTCTTTGATTTTGAGCCTAAACAGATATTCTCTGAAGAGACTGCCACGAATGATTTCTGCAAACCTGACATCATCCTGCTCTTCATATTTCAAGAAGTACAACTCCTTTGCTGAGCAACCCACAATCTCTTCACCTGATTCCTGAAAAGAGGTCACCCATGTCAACCCCGTATGATCCTGAACTTGAGCTTGAAGAAGGTATCTGTAATCGCACTCCTCGAATTCCTGATTGCACTGGTCACATTGCCATCTTGAATTTCCTGACCTTGTCACTTTTTTATTACACTGTCTATCTCCAATCATCAGTGGGCAAGCTGTGTAGCAGAACGTATCCGTCTTGATGAATGATATGGATGCCTTCACTGTAACCCAGTCTGGCTTATCTGATCTTCCCAAGCCTTCGTCCTTGATCTGTGACACAGTTTTACGAATCTCATTCTTTGGTCCTCCAGGCATGTCTCTAGAGATGGATTGAGAAGCAATATTTTTGCCTCGTTGATCAAACCGAACTCTCAAGCTTTGGGCCTCTGGAGAATCTGGATTTATGAAGAGCTGGGTTGAAGAAATGGTCCCTATAGATTTCCCACTGAAGTCGTTAACGTTCCCAGCTTTGATAGCTAAAATTAGGAAAAGCCCACAGTCAACCAGTTCTTGCAGATTTTGACCTTCCCTATTGCAGAAATCACCCCATAGAGTTAACTCAACACTCCGGGAGAGAGAGAGATTGGAAGTGTTGCTCTGCAGTAGAGGAGGAGAGACAAAGAGTCAAATTTCTCTGATATATGTTTAGGACCTTAGACATCAAAAAATAATATTGTGGATCTCTTCCATTACTAAAAGTGGGAGAGGGACTTTAGACTAATATTATGCTTACATAAATTTACTATAGTTTTAATTTCAAATTTTTTTTTAAAAAAAAAAAAAAACTATTTTAAAATCATTTTATTTAGCTAGTACCAAAACCTCAAAGGAGATGAGTGAAAATTTTTATTTAGATAGTTTATTGGTTGATTTGATAGTTTTTATATTTTTGCTCAATTCAAAGGGATAATATGTCATTTTGGACAGTCAATCAATGCAATTTGTGCAAAATTAACGGCGTGGGGGAATCTTGATATTGTCAGCAAAAATATGAGAAATTTTTGTAATTATTGAAATCACAGGAAACATTTCTGTATTTGCTAGAAACCTCAAGAGAGATAAATGTAATTTACTCCACTATTTATATGGTTATATGATTTATATCATATGAGACCCATCCCATAGTTCACAATATTTACATGATGATGTGGGACTCACACAGTATAGAAATGTTGGGACTGGTTGTACTAATGTAGGAGGTAATCAGCCCTTCAAATGTTGGGACTGGTTGTACTAATGTAGGAGGTAATCAGCCCTTCAAATGTTGGGACTGGTTGTACTAATGTAGGAGGTAATCAGCCCTTCAAATGTTGGGACTGGTTGTACTAATGTAGGAGGTAATCAGCCCTTCAAATGTTGGGACTGGTTGTACTAATGTAGGAGGTAATCAGCCCTTCAAATGTTGGGACTGGTTGTACTAATGTAGGAGGTAATCAGCCCTTCAAATGTTGGGACTGGTTGTACTAATGAGCAATGAGGTGATAATATTGTTGTAGTTGAAACAGAGGAATAGGTGAAATTCCCCTTCATTTTTTATAATTTTCCAAAAACAAAAATTTAACACTGTTGATACTGTCAATATGCCACGGGTACCTGACAGAACGGGTCGGACTGATCCACACTTCTCGTACCAATATCCGAGTGATCAAACCCAACAATGAACCTGCAAACAAGTTTAACGGGAACGGGGAGTCCCCCAGTGAACCCTCCGATGAGTAAGTCAGAAAGAGAAATAGAATGTAGAGAGAGATTGGAGATAGAAAAGCTTAACCTTCTTCTTGTCTTCAACCTTTACTTATATCCTTTAGTCATCATTTTGCTGTCCCTTCCGACTTGTCATCTTGGCCGAAAGTCTATGCTATAGCTTACCTTGTTCTGGGCAAGGGGGTGCTGTTCCGACGGAAAGGTGTTGTCGTAATAAATGCTGTGATGGGCTGCATTAATGGTGATGTGCAGTGACAATAACTTTGCAGATCTTTGTCTGCTGATGTGGCTTGTCTTTTACTTGCCGTATGTCTGAATGTCATTGGCTCTTTATGCCACGTTGGATTCCAGCTGTTCTGGACTTTACCAGCTGGGCTATGTATTGTACTCCAAGTGATGGGCTTGGGTTGCTCATGGTGGGTTATGGCCTTTATGGGCTTATCCACGTCAGTAGTCCCCTATTCCCGAGTACAGCTTTAGTCCAACGAAGGGAATACTAATGAAGAGAATGAGGGTGTTAGAGATTGGCGGGATGGAGGTCGACCGGTAGGGATGACCGAGTGGGTGGACCGACCGCGAGGTGGGCCGACTGTGAAGTGGGCCGAGTAGAAGGGAGGACCGTGAGGTGGACCGACTGCGAAGGTTGGCCGAGTGGGAGGGCTGACCATGAGGAGGGCCGACCGCGAAGGTTGGCCGAGTTGGAGGGCCGACCACGAGGAGGGCTGAATGCGAAGGTTGGCCGAGTGGGAGGGTCGACAACGAGGAGGGCTGACCGTGAAGGTTGGCCGAGTGAAAGGGCTGACCATGAGGAGGGCCAACCATGAAGGTTGGCCGAGTGGGAGGGCCGACCATGAGGAGGAATGACCACGAAGGTTGGCCGAGTGGGAGGGCCGACCACGAGAAGGGCTGACCGCGAAAGTTGACCGAGTGGGAAGGCCGACCACGAGGAGGGCTGACCGCGAAAGTTAAAGTGGAGGGGCGCGGGGCTCAAGAGGCGGCGTGCCACATGGTGATTTGAAGTGGAAAAGACAGGGTAATGGGAGGAGACAGTGGATCGTGGTCGTACATGTGGCAACATCTCGTGTGGGGGAGGTTAGGCGTTGGATCAGAAATGAAACGATAGGTCATTATGCGTGTTAAAAAGACAGTTTTGGCGGATGTTTTGAAAAGTTTTCAAACTGGCGCAAATTAACTGCGATCCTTGGAGTACGGGCAAGCCTTGGGCTTTTGGCATTATTCGATTTACCTACTTCTTTGCGAAAAATCAAAACATCCCAAGTGTTAACTCCTTTGTTACTGACGATACACCTCTGCAACATTTTTTCAATTTCCTTGCATCTGCATCTGAAGCGATTCACAGACATACCATAGGAATGGCCCAAGAAGAAGCTGTGAATGTCAGGGTGGATCCGCTTGGTGATGACGATGGAGTGGAGTTAGCAGAGCAGTATAGGACGGAAAGGCGAATGGAGAGGGTGGGGGAACTGGTGGTACGAACTCATGCTTCCACCATGATAGCAGCTCCGAAGCCAATCAGCCAGGCGGAACCAGATCACTAGCACACGAAGGCTGATAAATCAACGGTTACCGCGGCGGAGTTGGAGGCTATTCGCAAAAAATACCAGGTGCCTGTTGAAATAGAGTTATTGTTGCCGACGTCGATGGAAAGGCCATCCGACGCAAGGCCAGGGGAGTTTGCCCTTTATGAGGAAGCATTGAAGGGAGGACTGAGGCTGCCACTGCCGCAAGTGGTGGTAGATGTCCTGAACCGTTTGGAGGTGGCACCGGGCCAACTAATGCCCAACGCGTGAAAGATTGTGCTGGCCTGTGCAAGCGCGTGGCCGAAGGCGAACGAAGGATCGGCCATGACAGTAGACGAATTTTTCACGTGTTACAAGGCCTCAGGACAACAAGAGACTTGGGTGACGTTGCAGGCGGCGGCGGGGAGGGGTCTGGTGGCGGGGCTGCCGTCATCAATTAAAGGTTGGAGGCCGCGGTGGTTCTATGTGTTTGCAAATGGAGGGGCTGGGGTGCGCACGGTGTGGAGAGTGCCCACCAAATCTATAGAGTCAAAACTGGGAGCAGCGGCAGAGGAGAGAATAAAGAAGGTGAAGGCATGGCAGGAGAAGGAGGGGGTCAAATGGGAAGAGCTTGTCCAATCCTCTGCCTTGTTTCGAGCGGGATTGGGTCCTTAGCCAGCGGTGGAGATCTGGGGCGAGCTGAATTGGAGGAGAGGAGGAAAGCGCAAGAGGTTGAGGATATGACCATCATCGCCAAGCCAACAAGTTCAAAGAATCCCAGGTAGACCGACCGCGAAAGCCGATTGCGAGGGAGAGGATCCGACCTCGCCCCAAACCCTTGGGGGAAAAAGGCTTAGGTGGATTTGTGCCCCGACCGCCCCTAGTAGATCCCTTGAAGGAGAGGGCTTTGAAGGAGATGGAGGTGGGGGGTGTGTCAAAGAAGAAGAGGAGAGTGAGGATGAGTGAAGAAGAGCCTGCCGTGAAGAGGAGGAGGGAAGTGATGGTAGAAGAGGCCAGCATGGCCAATGAGGCAGAGAAGGGGGGAATGGAGGAGACCCCAGAAGGGGGGGTCGTCCCAGAAGTGGAGGTCGTCCCAATAATGGCGAAGATCGCCTTAGAGGTGGCGAGGGTCGCCCCCGAAGTGAAAGTAAAAGGTGGGGTAATTGGCCCTGAGCCAAGGGAAGGAGAACAGTCCCAGGGGGGTCCTGCACCCCAAGGAGGGAGTGTCAGGCTGATAATCGGGATCTACCACGCTCGTGCAGTGGCTGGGCGGCTGGAAGAAGAAGAAGGCCCAGCAAGGGCAGGTGCAGATCGCCTTGTGGAGATCGTGGATGAGGCAGCCGTGCACGCAGTAGCCAAATTCAATGAGGCTGAGTTGCTGAAGGGGTTATGCTCTGCTCAAATGGAGGTAACCACCTTGGCAAGAGCTCTGCTGAGAAAGGCGGCGGCTGTAAAGATAAAGGTAGATGAGGCCAAGGCTCAACTTGCCAACTTTAAAAGAGAAAGTGCAGGGTGGAAGAAGGTTGCACGAGGCGTGTGCTTCAGGAGTTGGCAAGAAGCTAAAAAAACGAAAAAGATGCAAGTGTTGGCCATTGTTCACAGCAATGTTGCCGACCAAGCCCAAGCTGAGCTGAGCGCAAACAAGTTGGAGCTAGAGAACGAACGCCGCAGGGTAGTGTCACTCGAGTTCCAGCTCGCTGGCGAGCAGAAGAAGTTGGTGGATGTTCAAAAGGCCTGTGCGGTCGCTGTGGAGCGATTTGAAGTGGCTATGACCAGCAATGAAGATTTGCGCGCCCAGCAAATCAAGGAAAAAGAGGATGCAGATCTGAAGATTGCTGGGCTGTAGAAAGAGTTGGAGGACAAGTGGGCTAAGGCAATGGAGGTGAGGGTGAGCCTTCAGAAGAAGTTGGAGGAAGAGAGGGCCAAGGCGGCCTCTGAAAAGGCGAGCCCTGAAAAGGCGAGCCTATAGAAGGAGCTGGAGGGAGAGAGGACCAAGACTGCCTCTGAAAGGGCAGCATACCTAGATCTGTACGTTGCAGCAATAGAACAATTCAAAGGGTCTGCTGAGTTTCAGATGGCGATCGATGTCGCGGTCGTTAACAGTGTGGCGAGGGAGGTGTCTGGGGGGGTGGGCCCATCTGGGATGACTGTTGGGGGCAGGACTGAGGCAGAAGTGATTGAGAGCTTCCAGCGGTCAGACTTCTATAAACACAAAATGGCTGAGTTCTGGGACAGTGGTTGGAAGATGTTCAAGCGTAAAGCTGAAGAACTGTTCCCAGACTTAGACCTTAGTACTGTAAAAATTGACGACGACGATGTGGCCCAAACCCCCCTGGATGAGGGTATTAAAGAAGAAGACCTCGTGTCCAGTGAGGAGGAGTAGTTGAAGAAAAAGAAAAAGAAGAAGACTTTGTACTTGGAGTTGTGTTTGTGTTTGTGTGTGTTTTGTTTTGTTTTTTTTTTGAATTACTGTAATAAACGTATGTACAAATTTGTGAATAAATAAAATTTCAGTTGTGTTTTTATTCGACTGTCTATGCTTGTGCATCTGAAATGAATGAGAACGGTGGCTTGTGTGCATCTGCAAAGTGGATGTAAAGTTGTGATAAAAACTAATTTTAAGAACTCCTCAACGTAGAGTGGAAGTGAATCTGTAATAAAAACTCAATGCAGAGTAAAGGTAAAGGCTCCTTAATGCCGAGTGAAATTGAACTTCTAATAGGAACTCAGTGCAGAGTAAACTCCTCAATGTAGAGTGGAATTGAACTTCTAATAAGAACTTAGTGTAGAGCAAACTCCTCAATGCAGAGTGGAATTTAAAATGTTATAAAATTATGAGTTTGTGCTTGCCACACTGCTGAAGTGGGTGAGGGTGGTTTATTAGAGTTAGCTTGACTAGTAAGGAAAGAGGTTGACTTGTAAAAGTTGATGGAGAAGATAATAATCTGAGTAGTAAAGGAAGCATGTAAGAACGTCGTTGGGATTTGACTAAGTGCAAAGTGGTTTAAAAACTTAAACCTGGAATTGTGACTAAGTGTGTCTACTAATGCCACAAGTATGCGTGCTCAGTTGGGACTAAGCTGTGATTTACTGATGTTGCAAGTAACTTAGTTTGGACCTGGAATTGTGGCGTTCAGTTTGGCGGAGACTTGTCATGCTTGGTCTGGCCGAGTGCTTCCTGCTCAGTCTGCTTGAGGCTTTTGGTGCTCAGTCTAGCTGAGGCTTTTGGTGCTCAGTCTGGTTGGGGCTGTTGGCGCTCGGTCTGGCCAAGGCTTTTTAATAAGTGCTGCAACCAAAATGTTGTTGTGACAACACACAGATAGCTGAGATATAAAATTGTTGTCATGGAACGTGTGATCCAGTTGATCAAAATTTACATTATGCCAGGGGAGAACAAGCATGTTCATGTGTGTAAATTCGTCAAAAAGAAAATACAATAACTGAGCAATAAAAAGTAGGAGTTTATTGGAAGTAACGCTTCAAATGCTCGGCGTTCCACAGGTGGGGGAGATCTCGACCTTCCATGTCCTGAAGTTGGTAAGTACCTGGTTGTGGTCGGGCTTTCACAACGTAAGGTCCCTCCCACTTGGCTGCCAGTTTGCCTTCAGTCGGGTTTTTTGGTGGCAAGGGTTATTTCGCGTAAGACAAGGTCCCTTATGGCGAACTCCCTTGGTCGGACTCTACGGTTGTAGTGTGTTCTCATCTTTTGTTGGTAGGAAGCCAGTCGGACTGCAGTGGTTTCTCTGAGTTCTTCGATTAGGTCAAGATCAGCCCGACGGAGCTCTTCGGTTAGCTCTGGGTTGGGGTGTAAAACCCTTGGGGTAGGCAGTCCGACTTCCACTGGGATGACCGCCTCAGCGTCGTATGTTAAGCGAAAGGGGGTCTCCCTAGTGGGAGTCCGGGCGGTAATACGGTAGGCCTAGAGTACATTCGGTAGTTTCTCAGCCCAAAGTCCTTTAGCAGCTTCTAGCCTGGTTATGATGATCTTCAGAAGAGAACGGTTAGTAACCTCGACTTGGCCATTGGCTTGGAGATGACCTGGGGAGGAGAAACAGGGCTGGATCTGGAGGTCTGCACAGAACTTCCTGTACTTGGCATTGTCAAATTGTTTGCCGTTGTCAGAGACGATGGCTTGAGGGATGCCAAACCTGCATACGATCGATTGCCAGATGAATTTGGTTGTGTTCTGCTCGGTGATGGTGACAAGGGGTTCTGCCTCTACCCACTTGGTGAAATAATCAATGGCGACAATCGCGAACTTGGTCTGGCCTCGGCTGGTGGGAAGTGGGCCAACTAAGTCGATCCCCCATTTGGCGAACGGATAGGGACTGCAAAGTGTGATCAGTTCTGTAGAAGGAGCATAGGGGATGTTGGCAAAGCGTTGACACTTATCACATTTGAGGACGAAGTCAGTGGCATCTTGGTTGAGAGTTGGCCAGAAATAACCAGTGCAAAGTATTTTGTGGGCTAGGATGTAATTGAACGACCGGGCCCTAACCTTGGCGGCTTGCTGTCGGTCATCAGGAAGTTCCCCCGTTATCAAAAATAGGAAGATGTCCGACGCCCAAGGGATGGGTTCATTCTGGAGGAACTGTACTTCTTGTTGGTCAGGGAAATGGCAGGGTGGGCTAGGTAATCGAGATGTACACCATGGCTGAGGTCGGACTGGTCTGCGGAAGCCAACTGAGCCATCTCATCCGCCTTAGAGTTTTTCGCCCGAGGAATGTGTTGGATGTGAAAAGTATTGAAGAGGCGAACAAGAGGAAGTGCAATATCCCTGTAAGCCCGCATTGTGTCCTCCTTTGCATCGAATTCTCCCGTAATTTGTCCGACAATGAGCTGGGAGTCGCTGAACACCCAGATGTGGCTGACACCAATGTCCCTGGCTAGGCGGAGACCTGCTATCAATGCCTCATATTCGGCCTCATTGTTATTGGTATTGAACAAGAAACGGAGGGCACATTTGAAAAAACCACCTTTAGGGGTGGTGAGGATGAGACCAGCCCCACTGCCTTCTCTGCGGGATAATCCGTCGACGTTGAGAGTCCAAGAATGAGGGTCTTTTGGCTCGGTAAGGGTTGGCGGTGAAGGAGCCGTGGTTGGGGTGGGATTAGTGAACTCTAGGATGAAATCGGCAACAGCCTGGCCCTTAATTGCTGTCCGAGGTCGGTAGGAGATGTCAAACTGGCTGAGTTCCACTGACCATTGCATGAGTCTGCCTGAGAGCTCTGGTTGCTGCATTACCTTCTTCAAGGGTTGATCGGTGAGGACCACTATGGAATGGGCTTGGAAGTAAGGACGGAGTCGTCTGGAGGCGATGACCAAGGCCAAGGACAATTTTTCTAGCAGTAGGTAATTCTGCTTCGCTTCCCTAAGAGCCCGACTGATGTAGTAGACCAGCCGCTGGACAGAACCGTCTTCCCTGATAAGAGTCGCACTGACTGCGGTGCTTGA